ACTGCTTTACACGTGGAAAGTAGAAGCTCAGAGAAGTTAAGGGACTTTCATAGGATCACTCAGATTTTAAATGGTAAGTCCAGAAATTTTCACAGGAGGATAATAAGTTTTCATGCTTTTATCATTAGCTTGTCATGAGAATAAAATCAAATCATTAATCTACAAGCATTTTTATAATTGCAACAGTTTTTTATTATTTCTCTATTAAATAAGGAGTATGAAAACCATAAACATGGGCCAGCAAGATAGCTCAGCAGTCTAAAGCGCCTGCTTACCTAAGCTTAGGCAAATGCAGGGACTGCAGTTCGATCCCCAGCACCACATGCTGCTCCAGCCCTGACCCCAGGGCAGGCTGAGCTGGCCCCCAACCCACACACCAAAAAAAAAACAAAACAAAAACAAAAACCACACACAAACATATTTTCATTTATGAATTTAAACTCAAAGACATTGTGAGGCAAACTTATCATTATATGTCTATCAATAGACTGAATCAAGTAAGTTTGATTGTCCCTGAACTTACTCTGTTTTCCTTTTTGGTTTTGGATTTTGTTGGTATTAAGATGCTATATGCAGGACTTCCTGAGCTAAGTGGAATCCAAGACCTGAAATATGTATATGACAACCTCCGTCCACAAGACACAGACCTGGAAGCAACAAGTCATTTTACCAAGTAAGACAAGTGGAAAATGTGTGTGTGTGTGTGTGTGTGTGTGTGTGTGTGTGTGTGTGTGTGTGTGCATGCGCGCGCACGCGCAACACATCTGAGGTGATTTCCAGTTGACCAATCATTGAAGTGAAGCTGCCGTTCCTGAGGCCAGTTTGTGTCCTCCTTCCAAAGGACAGAAGCAGAGCATTGAGCAATGCCTAGCAGAAGCCTTAGTCAGGGTTTCTGCAGCATGCTGTTGCCTGCTAACCAGCCCCTTCATCCAACAGATTGCTCAATAAAAGGTCATTGAAAAGAGCAAGAGCTGACATAAATAAATTGGTTGTTCTACTTGAACTATGTCCAGAAAAACAATTTGGGAAAAGAGATTTATGATGAGAAACCAACTCACTACTTTCATCTGTAAGACAATACAAATACTGGAATACTTGGTCTAAGACCTGTGACTGTCTTCTGTTCCTAATGTATTTTTTATTAAGCGAGTCTGGGAAAACACTAGTGTACAACATGATAAAAGTCTAGGTGGAATAGAATGCCTATCAATTACACCCCAAATCATTGTCCAAAGGGCAGTTCATTTTATAATATAATTTTGAACTTTCCTTTTTGAATGGATAACATAATCCCTAGTGTATGCAAGCTATTCAACTAAATGTCAGCTGTAATTATCCTAGTAAACAGTTTAAAAAGAGAAAAACAGCATTCTTTCTTTCCTCTGACTTCTTAATTGTCAATCTGATTTGAGTCTATTTCTTAATCATTCTAGTGTTTTCAGTCACAAACTTGTAAACAGAGTGTAGGATCTTCTTAGTAGAGTGTATGTTTTTAAACAAAACAACAAATTAAAATCAAACCAGGTTTTATTTTTTATCTTTTTACCTTTCTAGACTACTCAGGGCTAGGTACCACTTATAAGGGTGTAGGAACACTTCACAAGGATGTCTATGCCCTGGAAAAATTTCTCTGGTCTCAGAATCTTCCGTTTCATGACTTTCCCTGGATAGAAAGCACTTGTGGTTGAATAGAAGGAAAATGACAGAACCACAAACTATTAGAGCTGGAAAAAGCTTTTATACTTTATTGATTCTGACAATAAAGAAAAACTGACACTCAGAGAATTACTAGTCATGGGCACAATTAATAGATGAAGCAAGAAAAAGAACTAGGGCTAAGATCCAAGTCTTTTATTCTCTCTGGCCCAAGATTTTTGCAGCAGTCAGTATTGGAAATTATATGACAAATAGTATGAGGAAGCACTTCCATTTAAAATAAAGTTCCTGATACCTAGTTAGTTTTTTTAAAAATTCTACCCTTTGTAGATCCAATATGGAAGTTTGGCAGAGTTTAATTTTTCAGTGTCCAAGTGTCCTTAAATAGCACATTTACCTGTAGAAGATTGTGTGTTTATATCAATTAACAAAGTCATTAATACTACTTTACAACTGACTACGGTCAAAGACATTGGCTTGAATACTTTGGTAAGTATTTTAGGCCCACTGCTTCCAGACTCAAGAAATTTCAAGTTATCTCAACAAAGGGTGATGAGTGTCTTGCGTGAGAAAATCCCGGGAAAGGCTCACAAGTTGGCCTTTGAAGAGCAGAAGGACATTTGTCAAGAGTCTGGGAATTACTGGAGCCCAAGGTAGCTTTGGGAAACACATCACAGGAATTTATCCTTCACTGCAACTGCCCATGCCTGGTCAGATGAGTTCTACCCAGGGTCAGTGGGTTTACTTGATATCAAAAGAGCCCCCACAAGAAAGGATCTGCGTGCAGCTCCTTTCTTTGACACTGACTGTTGTGTCAAAGGGATGGGCAGGGGAGGAAGAGGAGTTGCTTGAAAGGAATCAGAGAAGGTAAAGGAGGAGACGCATGGTTGGGCTGCAGGACCTGTGTCTGAGCTGCATCACTGTTTAACAATTACAGACCTGCAGTTGACTAAGGGTTCCTCCCACCACTTAAAAAACAAGAAAAGCAATGTATTCATTAGGATGAAAATAGCTCTTTCAAACCCTGGTGATTAAAAAGCTGCTTCAGGTTTTGGCCAAAGGGGGAAAAAAAAATGTGAATTGCTTTGTGTGTGACAGTCTCATCCTGCTGTCCCCCTGCTTCCTGCGACAGGCCCAGGTCTGTAAAGAGAGCTTGCTCTGGGTAATTCATCTCCTTTTCCCATTGGAGAGGAAGTGGAGGAGGTCAAGAAGTAGAACCAAACTGGTCGCCTCCTTGCAGAGAGCTACCTCTTGTCACTGCACTTTCACGCCCCTGCCAGGCTGTACCCTGACACCTACAGGTGTTACATAGGACACTATAGTCCCTTCTACAATACAGCACAGAGCATTTTTGGAGAAAGGATGTGTTCTCCATTGTAGTATTATGCAGGTGGCTACATAAGCTAGACCATGTCGTCCTTCTGTTTAATGTTTCTTCACTGACTGTTTCCCAGCTAGACCTCTGCAGTCTCACCTTTTTCCTTTATTCCCACATCAATCTCTCTCTGCCATATCATTTTTTAATTTGCATTGATTTCTGATTTGCCTATTCAATTTACATATAGAGTCATAAAGTCTCCAGTGGTGAGGGTGTGGGAGGTCTGATCTAATGATCTCATCCATCGCTGATACCTTGGACCACTAGTTTCTTCTCCATGGAAGCTCTCGCTATTCTAATACTCACTAATTATTTTTTCTCAACAAATTCAACAGAATATACCATCTTTCCTGCTATAATTATTGCTGAATTATATATTATCCTGTATATCACCTTAGTTAATGTATTAGTCAGTTATATGACTGTCTCCCAAGCAAAAAGGGGACATTCCAACTTCCCCACTTCTCAGGATATACTAAGGGAAACACTCCTTAAATAACAAAAACAACAACAAAACATAATCTTTTTCTTTTTTTTTTTTTTTGTACTAGGGATCCAGTTCAGAAACTTGTGCTTGTCAGGCAGGCAATTAAGCTGCTAAGCTATCTCCCTGATCCCAGAAAATACAATTTAAACATCCAACATTAAGTATATTAAAACCCCATAATAATAGTTAATATCTAATGTAATGCCTCTTATGTGAAGCTCTAAGTGTTTTTTGCAGGAATGTAATGTTGGTATTTGTCATAACAACCCTATGAAGTGATAATATTTTATCTATATTTTTACAATGATGAGCTGAGGGATCTGAAACAAGTTAAACAATTTGCCAAAGCCTACTATGGACAGGAAGCAGAGTCAGAATTGTAATTTTGGGGCTTCTGCTGCAGCACACAGGGTCTCAACCACCATCTGTATGTTCAAAGCCACCCCTGCCACCTGCAGGGTCACATGTGAATTATTTCATAATCCACACTGCTTTGGCTGCTGTTTATTCAAGACATACCCCTTGCTCTTTCTCAGGCACTAATCCTCATATCCCAAATACTCATAGTGAGCCATCAAGAGAAGTCCCCTGAGGGTTGGTTTCCAGACCTACTTTAATTCCTGCCTTTGGAGCCCCTCTGGGATAATTTTGCTAATTACTCTGAAAGTCACCTGCCTTCCTTTCTCTAACTTGGCCCATTCTTGGCTGCCTTGATCCTTTTATTTTCTGCTCAAAGAACTTTCCCATGAGAATTATTGTCCCTTAACATCCAAGAGTCTGTCACAGTTTATTCTAAGGTCTCAATTGTATACTTCTATTTTTATATGTGATTTAATGTGGATATAGGTTCTCTTTTCAATTTTTCACGCAGTTCTTACATATATGCATATATATGTATATAGTACGTATAATTATCTAATATTTACATATAGTTCTGAGAATCATTCTACCTAGAATGATAAATAATAGGTTAAAGAAGGTCAGGAAAATTATTGTGCCTATGATTCTTGCCATTCAAGAAAGATTTCTGTCATCTATTCTTTGTATATTTTACATTCCTAAAAGAGATTCTATAACATTCCTTCTGTAAATCCTTAAACAATGACTATAGTAAATTTATAAAGAATAGCTAGGCTAATTATAAACAATAAAGTAGATTTAAAACAATATCTCCTGATTCAAGTGAATGATTAAAAATATGTGTGTTTGTATCCAGTCCTCCCTGGGCATGTGTGGGGATCTGTTCCAAGATTCCCCAAGGGTACCAAAGGCCATGGGTGTTCAACTGCCTTGTAAAAATGTCACAGTGGGTGCCTTTAAGATATGCACATGCTGGGTGAATGATTTAAATCATCTCTCAATTTATAAATATACAGTATGTCTTATGTATATAGCTGTTAAACTCTAGTTTAATATGTAAATGTGCCACCCACAGATACAAAAATTTGATGGTACTTGTACATGTAAATAATATTGTTCTCTTTCACTATGTTCTTTGAAATCATGTGGATTTACAAATTAGGAAGTAAGCATTTGCATTACAGACATATAAACGTGGAAAAAGAAATCAGATTCTGTAATGGCTCCATTATTGATCTTGATACTTTGATTACCTATCTATGTATCAGGCTATCTACCTATCATCCATCCATCCATCCATCCATCCATCCATCCATCCATCCATCCATCCATCTATCCATGCAGCTAGCTAGCTAGCTACTATCTATGAGAGAGTTCCTATATACTTAAACTCTATACTTAAACTCTTTATTTCTTTGTTCTGAGAGTCTGTAAGTATTTTATAGCACTCTTTATCCTGATATAAATACTAAATTCCATATTAAAATCAAATAAGGAAATCCATGCTCTCACCACCCCCAGACTCCCAGTGAGGACGAAGGCATCTGAGACAGCATGTGTGGCTTTCCTAAGTACTCTGTCCTCACCACACTGTCAGCATTAAGAGACTGCCCCTCCTGACCCTCTTAGAGAGAGGCTTGAAAAAAGAAATTGTTTTTCTTGTCTCGCTGAGCATGATGAACAGTGGAGGATTCTGCCCACGCCTGGGTACACACATTGTGGATCTCAAAAGATTCTGAGGATTCTGACTCCATGGGCATTAAAAATTACATCATTATCAGAATGAAACTCA